GAGCGACAAACGGATTTGCCCTAGAGCCTTCCTATCCAGTATCTCCCAATCACCATCTGACTCCTCCTTCTTCTTTCCCTTTTCCTTACCCATCAACGGACGATACAAATCCTTCTGGTATAGATAGTCCTCCATCTGCGACTTCTAGTAGGCGAAATCTGAACCGTCAAACTTCTCGATCTTTGATTTGTTTTCCTCTGCCATGACTTTCACACAAATTGCTGAACGAAGCTCTGATACCAGTTGTTGGGGATTTGAAATAATCAAATCAAATCCGTACCCTTCCGGATAATATTGTGTTTGAGAGTTGAGCAAGAAAGAAATTCACCACAAATCAAAGATAAAAACTTGTAGGAAAGTAAACAAGAAAGAACACAACAGATTTAACGAGGTTCGGCAACGTGCCTACGTCCTCGGGAGCCACACCACACAATTCTTTGATTACTTGAAGAAAATTACAATGCTTGCAATTGACCTCTCTCTCTCTAAGATTTCTAACCTCAAAGAGCCCTCAAAACCCTCTTTTTTCGTGCTCTTTTTCTCTCTTAAACCCTAAAGGGACGTGTTTCTATTTATAACAAAACACAATCCCAAACAGATTAGGATTCTAAAACGAGTCTGCCACACCCTGGTGTGGCGCAGACCACACCCATGGCAGACAGGGCAGATTCTGCCACACCCTGGTGTGACGCAGACCACACCCATGGCAGACAGGGCAGACTCTGCCACATCCTGGTGTGGCGCAGACCACACCCATGACAGACATGGCAGATTCTGCCACACCCTGGTGTGGCGCAGACCACACCCATGACAGATAGGGCAGATTCTACCACACCCTGGTGTGACGCAGACCACACCCATGACCTGTTTTGAATTTTCATGCAATTGTTAATTTTGATTCTAGGTTTGGGTCTCCACTCTCAAGACCAACATAACCCATCCTCTTTAGTAGTCGGTATGATGAAGAAATATAATAATAGTAACAAGAATAACGTGTCCGCATAGCTAAAAAGTGGGCAAACAACATCGTTCTTTTAAGTTTTTATTAATTGAACTTTATAGGCTATATTAGCAAAAATAATTCCAGAAAAGGAAGGACAATTAGGAAATTAATGTCACCATGGGAAGGAGGCATGTTGCCCCAAAAGCATGTGAACGCATCTACTAATTGCAGGACATCTACATATAAATTGGTACTTTAGGACGTTGTTTAGTTTGGTTGGTGGGCGGGTGGTCTTATTAGAGCATTTCCAACAGCTTCCTCATTTTATTGGTATTTTTACTTTTGGAAAATTTTGGGCTTTTTTTGATCCAACAGATTCCCCATCCCATTCACTAAAATATGGATGAAGGAGAAAAAAAAAGGAACATTCCCCAAATCTGCAGCATTCTTTAAATTTTTTATTGCAATAAAAAAACATAGGTGGTATTATAGTAATAATGAATCATCGCCCAGTTGGCAAACTATGACCTTCCAAAGTTATCAACAGATATCTCTCCCTTGGCAAACACAGCCACATATCTTACATCAAACACGGATCTCTTTGGATTTCTTTTGATTTATCATCACAAGTTTTCTCGGCCGTACGTGACGAACTGTCTTTAATGTACGCATCCTTCTTCGCCATCTTCGTCTTTTTTTGTGACGGTCTTTTATCCTATTGATACTAGCGTCGGTTGATTAAAGTATGGTAAAAGAACAATTTATGAATTAATGGCGAGTATATAATGATTGAGAGCATGCGAAAAGGGTTAGAGAGGTTCAATCACTTATCCTTATCATGCATTTTGTATGGATTTTATCTTTAGGCCCATAATTACGTGGATGGGGTTTGATAACGTCATGTGCATCCACGGGCGGATCCAAAGCCTAGCTAAGGGTGCGATTGAAAGTGAAAGCCCATTTATATTTTCAACAATAAAGTATACTATATCTATATTCACATCAGATACTACATTTTTATAATATTATACTTTTATTTTAAGGTAAATAGGCACTCATTGTTTGTCTCCTAAGAAATTTTTTTGGGATCCGCCACGGCTTGCATCTGAACTTTATTATTATGTTTGTACCCTTATGATCATATTTTTTGAAAATGCAAAAGCAGGGCGAGGTACCTTATGATCAGATTTAACAGCTTATGCGTTGTATTGGGTTCTAGAAATAGAATCAATTTCTTGTTGGCAAAATGGCTAGATTGGTATAAATTCTTGAGGCTTGGTAACAAGTTGGTATATTTTTTTAAAATTTTGTCAGATTGGTATAAATTTTCAACTCCGGCGTCATATTGGCCTTAAGTTTGGCCGGAGTTACTGTTCCGGCTAGTGTTGATGAGATTTTTTGCATAAAACTCCATTATAAAAAACTTATCCTGCTCCTAACCCCCTCCCCCCTCCCTCCTCCTCCTCCTCCTCCTCATCCTGCTCCCAAACATTCGCGACTACTCCAATTGGCGAACTGCTCGAATTGAAACCCAACTTCGGTGATGGGCAGATGTATAAAGGGTCGTCGAGAGATATCGATTTGGGCAACTGGTAAGCGGGTAGAGATGACCCGAAGAAAGTCCCGACGAGGTCGATCTGTGCCTGAATCTAGGTCAAATCTCCAGCGGTCTCTATGGGGGTTTTGAGATCTGGGCTCGGGAAGCCCGAGAACGAGGTGAGGCCATCGGAGTCCGAGGTGTTGAAGGGGAACGGGGAGTTGTTGTTGAGGACAGCACCATTGGCGGAGACGATGAGCTCTTGGTGCTGGACTTGGATAAGGAGGGACCAAGCTTTGAGCTCGGCGAGGCCGTTGTTTTGGACGGTGGCCGTGGCTTTGAAGGAGTTGGGCTGGGCTTTGGGGTCCTTGAGAAGAGGATGGATTTGCTTGCGATCGGTGATGGAGTAGGATAACTCGATGCCGTTGTAGACCGGGGGTGTTTCTGGGGGCTGTGATTGAGTTGAGATGAAGAAGAGAGCGAGGAAGAGGAGAGAGGAAGAGGATGAGGAGGAAGAGGATGAGGAGGAGGGGGAGGGGGTTAGGAGCAGGATAAGTTTTTTATAAGGGAGTTTTATGCAAAAAATCTCATCAACACTGGTCGGAACAGTAACTCCGGCCAAACTTAAGGCCAATATGACGCCGGAGTTGAAAATTTATACCAATCTGACAAAACTTTGAAAAAATATACCAACTTGTCACCAAGCCTCAAGAAATTATACCAATCTGGCCATTTTGCCATATCTTGTTAGATCTACAAATGGATTATTAAGAAACATAAACCCTAACTCAACCACCTAATAAATATTTGGGTACTTTCGACATTTTAGTCCCTTACATATTTCATATTTTCAAAATAGTCCCCCGGATCATCAAAATTGCTATTAGATTCCCTAACTATTAAGTTGTTTTCAAATTAGTCTGTTTAATCATTGAAATCGTTATTTAGGCCCCCAATTCTTGAGTTAGTTTGCAGCTAGTCCTTTTGCTATTAGATCTATCAATTCTTAGATTATTTTGAAACTAGCCTCTCGAAATCAAGAATAAATGTAGTAACGAGAGGGATTATTCTGGAACAATTACTAATGAGAAATGGTGGAACTAATTATAGCAATTTCAGTTATTTGAGGGAATAATTTTTTTTGAGCTGAAAACTAGGGTGAGGTACCCTGATCATAATTATATATAAAACTAATACTAAAAGATTTACATCATATCCAGTTAGAGGAACACCGTAAGAGAAGTAGGTAAGGAGCGGACAATTGTCATCACCTACCAAACTAAACCCACGACATAGCCCCAACTAAGAGAAAAAGCCAGAAAACACTTGTTCAACAGGAAAAAAATATAAACTCCGAGAGACCTACTAAGATAAAAAAAAACTAACTGCAGAGGGAAGCCATCTTTTGGTAAGGTATCCTTTGTCTTAGAACGAGACTGGATCGGGATCTATGGATCATTGGCGAAGTTGTCGCTTGAAGTATATTGGATATTCTTCTTTGCCAGCTCATGGAAGCCAAGGTTGAATGCGGCTCTACAAAGCCTCCTTGCCATTCTTTCTTCTTCTGCACCTGACCAGAAAATAATATATCTCGCAATGTTAGAAGCAATGATAAGAGGGCTGAACTGGCAGTCTTTAAAAATGATTGAGTTTCTGCTGTTCCATATCCACCAACGAGCAAAAGGACAATTTAGAAACAAATGATCGTGGGTTTCCGTATCCATTTGACATAAAGGGCATCTAGGATCACCAGTCCATCCCTTGTTGATCAGGTTTGTCCTCGTGTTCAATTCTTTGAGGGAATAATTTTGAAATAGTTTGAGAATTGGAGGACCAAATAGCAATTTCAACGACACCGCGGACGCATTTCAAAATGTGAAAGATGTTAAGGGATGATATATAAAAACCCCTACCCAAAAATTAAACTTGTTCTGGGAATAAAACTTATTGCGTGAACGCATGTGATGCCAGCTCCCCACATGCAAATGATCCCCCAACCGTAGATCTCATGCGTGATTGAAAGGGATCGGTAGAGACTTGAGCTTATAATTGATATAGGTTGCATTAAGGAGGTTGGTAAATTTGTGCTCTTTGTCTGAGGTTTTGGCAACCCTCGTACACCAAAGTGGGATTTAGATATTCATTACCTGTCCTTAAAAATCAGGTGGTTAACAGTGTGTTGCCTGCGATTATGGAATTTAAAGATCATACTCCGTACCATAAGTTAACTAATATTGTCTGTTATTTGTCAAAAGTTAAATGAGTGTGCTCATACCAATACACAAAGAGACACACGTAGGAACCTCTTATTATGTAAACCTTAAGTCAAGCCATTTTCACGAAATTTCTGAAGTACTGATGATATTGTGGACATATTTTTTTTTTTTGGTAAATGAAAACTTTTTATTCATCAACCATTGAGAAAATATGTACACCTCAAGAATACTCAGCAAATAAGTAGCTGAGAGCTCAAAACTAAAAAAACAGTTTCACTCCTCAAAAAGAAACCTGTCAACCCTATTAGGGAGGGTTATTGAAAATGATTGTAGAGGCTTCAAACTTTATAACCTTGATCAAATGATCAGCACTGCTTATCTTCTGGGTAAACAACCTTGCATTCCTTTCTCTCCATATGCAGTAGATTGAAGCTGTTAATACCAACCTTTTAAGCTTAACCTGTAGAGTTTTCCCTCTCATGCTTGAAAACCAGTTCCAAACCTGATTCCAATTGCAAGACTTCTTCTTGAAATTCATCCAATCCATGATTGAGTTCCAAATGTAGGAGGAAAAAGTACATTCGAAGAACAAATGATCTCTCGATTCAGTGATTTGTCCCGTGCATAGACAACACTGGTTTGAACTGATTATACCTCTCTTCAGGAGCCTATCTTGTGTGAGAAGCCTGTTTTGAATCGCTAGCCAGCTGATAAAAGAATGTTTGGGTACATTGAGACCACCCCACACAGTTTTATACCATGGCACTGAGATAACAGCTGCAGACAGGTTCTTGTACAATGTCGACAGAATTGGCTTTGAATTCTTGCAGCTTGACATGATGAGAGACTTGGTATTTTCAGCACCTCCTAAAACCGCCATCACCTTGTTTCTAATTCTGAGTAATTGTTTCCACATCCATGAGTCTCCTGATCTAGCTTCAACCTGCCATATGTCTTCATGTTTGAGATAATTTTCATGGATCCATTTAATCCAAAGAGATTCCTTGTTAGAATGAATGAACCATATGCTTCGTAAAGCAGAAGCTGAATTCCATATTTGAGCAGAATAAACCCCCATGCCACCTTGTTTCATTCCTAAGCATACCTTATCCCAAGCTACAAGAGGCACTTTAGAAGAATGTTCATCTTTGCCCCATAGGAATATCCTACATAATTCATCAATTTTGCGAAGAACTTTGACAGGAAGAATACAATTCGAAGTCCAGTAGATAATCACTCCAGAGATCACACTTTTTATTATTTTCAATCTTCCCGCATATGTCAGTGTTCTGCACTTTGTCCAGTTTTGCAGCTGCTTTGTGATTTTATTAAACAGGGGAAGACAGTCATTGTATGATAATCTTTTCGTAATTAGAGGAACTCCCAGATACTTAATTTGCATTGATCCCTCTGTAAATCCCAGAATGTTAGCAATTTCTCTTTTAACTGAGTCCTCAACACCTCCATAGAAGATTGAACATTTATCTGTATTAGCTTCTAGCCCAGACACTTCACCAAAAGATTTAAAGCACTGATAAAGCTTTTGCACTGAATAAGTTTCTCCTTTTGCAAATAATAATAAATCATCTGCAAAAATCAGATGGGAGATCTGAAGTTTCTTGCATTTAGGATGAAACTTAAAACCCCTGTCTTCCTTTAATTTGGTCAAGCTCCTAGACAGATAATCCATTCCCAGGATGAAGAGATAGGGAGAGATATTGTGGACATATTGATAGATACATATATGGGTTAATTTTAGATAACCCTCCCAAATGGGGTTTCACACAAAGCCTCCCTGAACTTTTACTTTTCCTCAAGACCCTCACACATACCATTTGCAAGTAGCTAAAATGTTCTTTGGATAGAAAACTCTAAAAGTGTATCATTTATCTTTTTTAAACAATATATACACCGTTACTTACTTGCACTTTTTTCCTTAAGGATAATTTAGTTATTTTCAAAATACATATAACGGGCCGGGTAAGAAAAGTTTGAAGCTAAAGTGGGTTTTATGAGACACCTCAGAGTTCGGGGGGATTAACTTAGATAAACAAAATTCAGCGGCATTAACTTTAGAAGTTTTGCACATAATCCCAAAACTTTTTCTCGTCCCATAAACCCCTAGGAACTCTGAGGTGTCTCACTAAAATCTCTTGAACTTAAAAATTTTCTCATCGGATATCGCAAACTGTAATTTCATATTTCTAAACTTTTGTTGAGAGAAATAACCCTCAGTTGAGCGAGGGGTATCTCGCTTCTAAATAGAAAATGGTTAAATTTTGGAATTTTTTTCTTTGTTTAGCTATTGTAAATTACAAGTAGAGAATCTGATAAGAAAAGTTAAAAGTTCAATAGGTATTACGAGACACTCTAAAGTTCAAAAGAGTTGTGTGAGAT